CCGGGTTTTTTTTTTCCCCAAAACCCAAAAAAAAAAAAAAAAAAAAAAAAATGGCTAAAATGATCCAACAACAACACTGCCACATTTCTGTCAATGAGCTGATCATTTTTTCGACAAAAAACCCAAACCCTACGTGCGTGAACTTTATCAAGAGCCCTAATGGCGTTGTAAACAGGACTTGACTTGAAGTATCCAACAAGGCTCAGCCAAACTCTTCTCGATGTTCATCGTAGAAGTGATGAGCAGGAAGTATCAAAAGTTTACAAATACGCGGGTGCGCGCGCGAGAGTGATGCCGTCATTGCTCAACAATTTGCTCCTCAGCAAGAATTTTCATGTCGCTGAATGAATTCGGATATGTTTCCATCTTGGTAGGCACGTTTCGGATCGAGTGACTGCGAGAGATCGAAGAGAAGCCAAAGTGGCCAACCGCAGCGGGACCCCCACGCGCCCTTTGGAGCTCCAACAAAACGTGGGTGGAAAACAAGGCCTGCTGCCAATTTGGCCAAAGGACTTGGCCCGCGAGTGGCTTGAGAGGACGCTCGGCTCAACCACGTTGTGGACAAATGGCCAAAGTTTTTTTTTTTTTTTTTTTAGTCAGGCCAAAGGGGTTGTGTTCGGTGTCGTCGAATGATCGTCCCACCTGTCGAGTGACAAACGGCTCGTTAGTGGCCAAGGTTGTGCGCCAATCGTTTGGGGCTTCTTGCTTCAGACATTTACGAGTCAGCTGATCGGTTGCTCAGTTTGGTGGCTTCGTCAATTGACCGGTCGATTTATGAGCAAGTTGCTAAGTTTGGCAGGTGACTCGATTCGTTTTGCTAGATTGGCCGAGTGATCGGTTGGATCTGAAACTTATTGGTTGGTTAGTCAATTGATTGGTGAGTTGAAAAGTACATCACTTTAATTGGCTAATGATAGTCAATTGATAAGTTTAGTTGGTTGGGAAGTTGACTCGTCACCTGATTGTTGTGATGGTAGCTTGAGGAATTCATCGGTGGGCCGTTCAATGAATTGTTGGTCGGTGAAGTGATCAGTCGATTGATTGGTGGCTAATTAGTTCACGGCTTGGGCGTTGGGCTGGTAGACTGGTTCATGGACTGATAGGTTGGTCAATGACTTTGTTGGCTAATTGGTCAGTTGATTGATTCGTCGGTTTCGTAGGTTGCCGACTTGATTTGCGGGCCGATCCATTGATCGATTTGGGGATGAGTCAGTCGGGTCGGTTGGTTGTTTTGTCAATTTCTTAGTTGATTAGTCAGTGGATTCATTGGTTCTCCGATAGAATTTGCCTATTTTCCTGGCGGGGGTGCCCCCACAGGTGCTCACTGTTTTTCTTGTTGTGGTTCCTTCACCTGGCTCGTTAGCGGCCGCCTTGGCCACGCACGAGATGTCAGCACGCGGTTGGAAGCCGACGACAAGTCAAGGAGTCCGATTCCTCCTGTGTTTTCTTTTTTGTGGCCCAGCATGACCTGGAGGACGGAACATTTCCCCCCGCGGCGGCTTCTCGTTCTGTTCACAATTTGAGAAACAACCAACATGATGGGTTGGAGCGTTTGGGTTCAACCGGTCAATGCGATCGCCGGAAGGGCGTCACTCTTTCAACATCGCTTAGGGGGGACTGAAAATAAGGGACGGTCAGATTGGGGTCCGCTGCCGGGCTGCGAATGGCCAGCCTGTGCCGGAGGGGGAGGGGGGCGTGGCTTAGCAAAAGCTCCGCAAAGTAACATGAGCATTTGTTTTTGAAAAGATTTGCATCCTTTGAATGATGAAATCATTCTTCCAGCTTTTTGTTCACACGAGAACCGTTTGTGCTTTTGCCGCGCGTCGTCAGTAGTGCAACGTTTGGATAGAAATCTTACAAACACGTGGAACAAGATGCATATGGCCAACGCTCACGACAACTTGCGCTCAAAAATGCCGAGTATGTACATATTTATATATCGATGGATTTTTTTTTTTTCATCACATGCTTTTTTTTTTTTCTAAATAGATTTATAATAGAGTCCTTATCAAAATAGAAATGGCTATTTGGGGTGAGTTGGATCATTATTACAATTAGACAAGCTGGAAACCAACAGGGAAAAGATGACTTTGTTTGGACCCCCACTGTCTAAAAGCCCACCCCTAAAGGAAGAAATGCAATAAAACAGATACCATATATATATATATATATATTTTTTTCTCTAGACACATCGATTGCAAAAGGTATCACAAACAGGATACAAGGTGTCACCTTGTACTAATCTACTGCCGCCCTGCCTCGCGCCCGTTTTCTCGCTTTCCCGCGACATCGTTCTCTCCTCCACTTGGACAGCAAACAGCAAAAGCTCCGGCGGTGAGGAGCTCCTCAAAACCCCAAGCCGAACCCGAGAGGAGTCCCTCCTCTCCTCGTGAGCAGGCCGTTTGAGCCTTTCCAAGGAGGCAAAAAGGGGCGGGGCTTCACACGGCATCGCTTTGGGAGCGGTCGCCGGGCGAATACGGCGGCGGCGGCGGCGGCACGGGGTTGGGCTTGATGGCTCTGCTCTTCATGTAAGAGATGAGCTGGTCGGGGATCTCGGCCAGGACGTCCTTGGCCAGCCGGGCCATGCTCAGGACGTGGTTGCCGGCGCGGTCCATGTAGTCCCTGAAGGGGACGAACTGGTGCGGCGGAGGAGAAGAGGGAGGAAGGGAACAAAAAAAAAAGACCAATAAGGCCTCATTGTTCATCGACATACATCAAGTTCGAATAAAGGGATGAACGTGTTTTTTTTTTTCACCTGCACAATGTCTCTCTCGGCCAATTTTCCACGCGAGGAGATCCGGATGTCGTCTCCATCCAACTCCACCATGGCTGCGGAATCAAGAAAAGCAGCAGCAGCAGCAAATCAGCATCTGTCGGTCATTACGCTTAATGGTCACATCATTAGGGACGAATGCACGACATCCAATATCCGTGTTTGGCTTTTCCAAAGGTGATCATGTTCATTTAATTCTGAATTCATTTACCCCGCAACAAACTGAGAGCTTCTGTTTTGGGCGATCAATTGGAGAGGCAGATTAGCGTCGTTGGTCTTGGGCAGCTGGCTAAAAGTCGAGCCTCTCCTTTCTGTGGTGAGCACTTGGAAACATTAATTCATGCTTTTGGCACATTACTGTCACGCACTTGACTTTGCTGTCAGCCGATCCTCCATTCCAGTTGGTCCAAAATGCCGCCGCTCGCCTCTTGACTGGTACTCTTACAAAGACGGAGCGCATCACTCTGATTCCCTTCACTGGCTCGCTCCCTTTTCCGAGTTCTTTTGAAGATCCTCTCATTTGTTTTCCAATCTTGAAATGGCTTGGCCCCACCTGACCTCTCTGAGCTCCCTGCCCGGCGCCGAAAGTCTGCGGACCAGGCACGACTAGAGATTGCGAAAACTCAGCTCAGAGAGGATGGAGTCTTTTCGGTCGCCGTTCCTTCTCTTTGGAATGAACGTTGGGCCCCCTCCCTGCCCGTCTTCAAACTCATCCTTTTTATTCTTTGGCTTTTGACTCAGCATGAGACTTGATTTTTGGTTGTACTGTTTTTGTGCTTTCGACTGTCTTTGTTCTGAATTGATTGTTTTATGGTCTGTTTTTGTTTGAATCATTTTTGCTCCGTGTACGGCATTTTGTAGACAGCCGCGGTTGTTTTCAAGCGCTCGAGAAATCCCGCTGTGTTGAGAGTTCATCATTTCAACAAATTCTCCCTCACGTTATTTTCTAATGAGGATGTCATCACTCCGATTGTTACTCGGCGATTAGCCCCCACGTTGGGTGATGCGGAGCCTCGCCGATTGACTTACCGTCAAATTCCGCTTGGCCGACCCCAACGATGATGATGGACATGGGCAGTTTGGCCGCCTGTGGTGAGTGACAAGAACAGTCAGTCGTGAGGGTAAAGGACCCGAGTCGCGGGCACCGAATCGTGCGTTTCCCCGATCACGTCAATTTTTTTAGCCTTTCGTCCCACCACGATTTTCCAGCGCAATCGGCAACTGCCGTCAAAGCGGTGCCGCAACGTCCTATTGGAATTGGGTAGCGCCGGTGGTTTGAGCTGATGGAAAGCGGCCTCGGATATTTTGCCACGGCAGACATGCAGTTTGTTTCAGTGGGGCGTTCTTATGCATCCCACTTGAGTTCGAAGCAGCTTTTCAGCAGCCAATCACAGCGGGGCGTGTCCTGCCTAGACTGGGGCTAAAGTCATAAAGTCTTGCCCACTCTCAGAGTTCATTCGTAGTCCTGCGCAAAGGACAACGGTGAGGAGTGTTCGATGTCTGGTCTGTCTTCAATTTTGGGATCTTTGTCACTCGGACCCCTTTGACGACTGCAACGCATCCCGTCGTGGACTCCCGTCATGCCCGTCGACTGATTCCCAGAGAAGGAAAAGTTACAAACAATAATAGAAACGCAAAAAAAAAAAAAAAAAAATGGCTTCGTGTGAAAGCGAATTATAACGCAGCACGTGTGAAGCGGCCGTTTGGCCTGGGGGGGGAATATATATATATATATTATTGAGTGATAGGGGCCCTAAAGTGGGGGCTTTATAAGCGCCATTAACTGCGCATATTTCCATGAGGTGGATTGTCAAACATCAAATAAGAGGCCCGTTGAAGTTCCAACATTGTCCGTGTGTCATTAGTGGGGCGGAGAGCCCAGAGTCCTCCGGCAAACGCAGCTCGGCAGGCTTTTACACTCAACGGCAAATGTTTGATTAAAAAAAAAAAAAAAAAAAAAAAAAAATCAATAACTGGTTACCCGCCTGCTGCCCGAAGACAGCCGGGATAGCGAGTGAGTTCAAACCAACGTTCCCTCGAATTCTCCACGCGTCCGAGCGTTCACGCCAACTCCCTCTCGCTTTCCTTGGACCACGGTCAGCAACATCAGACGTGCGCACGCGGCGGCCAAAGCGGCATTGCAACCGTCTGCAACACGTACTGCGGATATGTTACAAAAATATTCAAACCGTCGAAATAGAATATGTCATTGAAAAGCGATTTGCGACACGAATCAAATCCGACCATCTTTGTTACTTTTATTTTTGCACTCAGGTCATTTTAAGTATAAGTCATGAATTCTCAATACAATTTGTTAGAAAGACGATCACACATTGTCCACTGGTAAATAATGGAAAACGTGCCATTTATCAAACACTTTGAGTCAGCTGACCTCTGAAACGCGCAAAAGGGCTTCAGTCAAAGGGCTCCTAAGCTCCGCCCACGTTTGCACTTCCTGACTGGAGTGCTCCGCAGCATCACGTCACACGTGGATGTGTGTCAATATCTGCTTCCAACGATCGAAGAACAACTGAGTGTGGCCCCCTCGCTCGCACTACTGAGGCGGAAAAGTAAGTAGGAATGGTGTGGTGTCCCGTTTGGAGATGAAACTGGAGTGCAAATGAAGGAGCGTCGAAACGTCAAGCGGGAACACCGATTCAAACCGAAAATGAAACTAAACCGCAAGACGATCCAATAAAAATGTTTGATGATTGATTGAAATGACGCTGATGCCGTTTTTTTTTCCTCTTTGAGCTCCGGCGCACACGATGTTCACGAATTCCGTCCGACTGGTTACATGTTGTAAATGATTGATGTCTGCTTGTAGTTGAAAGACATTGACAGTGCTAAAAGTAGGTCAGTGTTCCTCCCCCGAAGGGCCTGAAGCGGGAAGGAGGGGTTGGGGGGGGGGGCGCAGTTGGGGGGGTGCTTGTGGGGGGCTGCCGGTTAACCACGGGTGGTTAAAGTCGAAGGTATTATCCTGCCTCCATCTCCTGCATCCTTCTTTCTCCTCCACCTCCTGCTTTTGCATTCTGAGCGCTTCGCCCCAGTTCGGAGTGTCCTCGGTGGGGCGTTTACATCCGGTGTCCTCGGATCCTTAGAAAGCGCGCGGAGCTGAAATATGCAACCCCGTGGCAATTTTATGCTCGGCCGAAGCTTTTCAGCGGGATGTATGCCGGAACGCCGCGGCGGGCGAAGGTTTGCACTCGAGGGCCGCATTTGATTTTCCAAACACAACTCACTCAGAGATGAGTAACAGAAAGAAAAAGTTGCGTGACCGCAGATGTTGTACGTGTGGGCGGCTTCGTGAAGATACTTCACCTGTGTGACGATGCCCCGCCCCCCCCCGCTGGACAAAATGTTTTCAATGAATCCCACACGTGTCACAGTTGAAAGTGATCGCTTTGAAAGAGGAAAACGTCTTCACAGACAAAACACGGAGCAAAACCGACGTGGAAAAACAGAGGTACCGACTGCACTTTGGGTTACGCGTGCCACCCCGGCCGGCCCTTCTTTCTATACACAACCAGAAATCAGTGAATAACTGGTGTTGAAATCGAATGCAATTTTTCTCTCATGGCCATTACAATTTAACAGCCTCATGTGTGATTTATCACGGATTCATTCCTGATCGCAAACACGCCCTAAGACTCCAAAAATAAATATATAAATAAATAAAAAATCTTATCTGCATTGTTAAATTTGCAAAAACATCTAAGATAGCGTGAAACCCCGCAGGCTGCCTTCGTAGATATGCAAATATATTCGTCAGATCGGACTTAATATTTCAGCGCTCAACTAGCATCAGATATACCTTGTCATAGGCGCGCGCGTGCACACAGAGTAAGACAAAGAGGAAGCGGGAAAGTCGAGTTCCAGGTGTAGCAGCATGACGTTCAGAGACGTTGAGCAGAGCAGCAGACAAGATCTTAAAAGGAAGGTGTGGCTGTTCCAATGGTTTGATTAACAGTCGCAAATTCCCTTTAAACCCAGTCTGCTGGGGGTCTACGGGAGGCCATCCGCATGCTCCGTGATCCCCCCCCCCCGCCGTTGTGGGAGTAAACGCAGCCGACTTCAAAGCAATCAAAGCAGCTCCTCTCATTCGTTTTAAATTGAGCGCAGGTGAGGCGTCAAATTCCCAAACGCGGTCAACTCGACTTGGCTCGGCACGAATATGAAAAGCCGCCGGTTTTTACGTCGATGGCGTGCGCGCCCGTCTACGAAAACGGGGCCCAATATGTCCCTTTTAAGCCATCGCGAAGAAAATGCAGGTGTCATCTTACCCACACAAAGGATTCATTTTTAGCTGTGTGATGAGCGCACGTATTTTTCCCAACAGGCAATTTGAACTCAGTGAGCGCCACGGCTCTTCTCCCCACGGAGTGGGAAGCAAACGGAGTAATTGGACGCGCTGTCATCACCTCGCTTGTTAGTCAGTCTTAATGCATCAGCGGATGAAAGAGACATCAATCATTGTGGCGGCACCACTAATTATTCCAACGTCACTCACCGCGTGTGTACAAGTAATACTCGTCAAAGTTCAGAGGTGAGACGTAACTTTGAAAGTGCTACCGGAAGTCTCAAAATGTCAACTAAAACCCACATCGTCACTCGTGATGAATCAAAGTTCAGAGGTGGGACGCAACTTTGAAAGTGCTAGCGGAAGTCTCAAAATGTCAACTAAAACCCACATCGTGAGTCATGGCCAGTCAAAGAGCGGTGAGGTTTTTTTTTTGGGGGCGGACGCCGTATCGTGACTTTCAAATGAGAATAATTGGGAGCAACTTGGGACCAACACCGCCTACAACAATCACCGGCACTCTAATTGGGGCTCCATCTTAGACGGATGAAACAAATTCCCTTCAGATGCGAGTCTATTCAAGTCTGAGTGACACCTCGGGCTCCCCGGCGGTCTCGAAAAAGGGAACATCCTCCTATCAGCAGCGGAGGAAACACGCGGTAGAGAAAACTCGCCACAGAGTCTCCAACGCGCTGCAAGCGGACAGTCGAAACGCTGAAAAGTCACGGAAGGCCCCGGCGGCCGCACTTACGTTGACGATGGCCTCCTTGGTTTGCGCCATGTCCGAGATGACGCCGTCCGTGATGATGAGCAAGACGAAATATTGCGAGCCGTCCTGCACCGCTGCCGCGTACCTGAGGGAGAGAACCGTCGTCACAACGGTGGAAGACCGGAAACGTGACATCCGTCCATTTTGTATCCAGCTTGCGGGCGAGAAGGCGAGCTACGCCCCCGGACTGGTCGCCGGACAAAGGCGGTCGTGCTAACCACAAACACGCTGTGCCGCCATGCATGCCAGCCATCCATTTTTGAATCCGGTTTTCCTCACGAGGGTGGCGGGTGCGCCGGAGCCTCTCCCGGCGCTCTTTGGGAAAATCGGCGAGGGACACCCCCAAACGGTTGCCGACCAATCGCAAGGCACACCTCGACGAACAACCGTCCGCGCTCACGCTCACACACATGGAGTCTCCCGTTAACCTGCAGTGCATGTTTTCGGGAATGTGGGAGGAAAGCCGAGTACCCGGAGAAAACCCACGCAGGCACGGGGAGGCCGGAATCAAACTCTGTACCTCGAGCACTGTGAGGCAGACGCGCTAACCAGTTGACCACCGCGCCGCCCTGTATGGCAATCAATCATGGCCAAATGGTCATGTTCAATCAGGTTTTGGTTTGAAAGTGGACCAAAAAAGTCTGCAGTATGTTCATGGACTTTTCATGGACTTAAAAAAATAAAAATAAAATAAAATAAAATAAAATAAAATAAAATAAAAGATTGCTCGTCACGCATCAATTGCTGTAAGCGTGCCATCCAAGCTTGATACGGAATGTAAATAAGTGAAATATGCTGTAGCGCTCGGCGTCCCCGAGGTCTTTCCAAACACTTTGAGCAAAGGCAGCGGAGATGGCGCACACTAAGTGTGGCCTACTTTCATGCCCTCGCGCTGGCTGTCTTATGAATAATGGACTCAACGGTTTATGCAAGAGCTGCGGTATTCCATTCTCATTTCCACTGAAACATTTCAGGACGGACAGTCGGACAAAACAAACAATCTCGTGAGATCCAAGGGGTGGGAGTGGGGGGGGGCGGGTGTTTAAATGGACGCTCGTGGGCAGCAGCTAGAGCGAGAACCATCAAGTGACATTGGCAGACCCGGTCAAGCACGGTGGACAAGTGGTTAGCGCTTGTGCCTCACAGTTCCGGGCGCTTCAGACTTTGCGCGGCTTGGCACCAGCTCGTATCCGGAAATTTTTGTTTGGTTTTTTTTTTTTTTTTTTTTGCCGTGAACTCTCGAATGCATTTCCTCGACAGAGACTCTCCACCCTTCGCTTTTTTGGGGTCATAAATACATTTCGCGGGCGTCGAGCGGAATCCTTCTATCGCCAAAGCCATCGCTTTTCAGGATATCAAACATATTTATTGATTCATTATTGTGTCGTCATTAGGGCATCACTTAAGATCGGTCAATAATGACGGACTCACCAATAGGATCGATTGGGTGACAAAATATGACGGTGACCAAATTTGGACATGGGAGGTCTTAAATGCACGCAAATATAGTGTTGCCTTGAGGTACAATCACAAATCATCTTTTTCCATTGAAATGAATGAAAATGCTTCACTGTTTGCCTTCAAATATCCATTGATCCAAGTGTTAGAAGAGCGGTCATGTTCAGGATTTTTCAAAATAACCACCATCGATTTAAGATCAGTGATAATGTATCGTGTGAAAACTGACAAGACTGTTTGTGGGGTTTTTTTCTTTTAAACGGCAAAATGCTTCCACCGGTGCTGATTAAATTACAATTTGCCATTCGTACAATAATCAGTGAAAAAACCCCCAACAGCAATGGATTTCATAAGTAATGCTTCATAACGTAAAGTACATTTATTTCTTCAAAATGTTTTGCGACACATTTCCCGAAACGAAATGTCCTTTTTAGAGCGCATCTACTTATTATTTATAAATCCTAACTGCGTTTTAGAATCGATTGTGCACTCTGACTTGCCTCGGGAGATGCTTTTGCATTACATACAATCAAGCTTCTTTGTAACATGTTAACCGTGTGATCTGTTGCCATGGAGACCATAGAGCAGATGCTTTAAAAAAAAAACATTTCCTTCCCCCTGAATTATGATTTATCTCGACCGACCACATCAGGCAATAACGGGAAGGGTCTCATCATACTTTGCACTTTCCTTCACACGGCCAAGAGAGATTTGATGCCTTTATATACGGCTAAACTGCATTTCTCGACTCCAACGCTGCCTAATCTTGCCCCATTTTACTGCAATAAGGCGCGCTTATTGCACAAGTCAGTCATCGATCATCACAAATTTGTGATATGGCCAGTAAATGCACCGGATGATCATTTCCTCATTTGCAAAGCTTGTTAAGGGGCGAATCGAGCGCGCGGGTTGCGCCGTGGCATTAAAAGCCAATTTACTGGGTGTGCATGCGTGCGTGCGGTGAACCTCCCGTGATGTCGCATGTAAAATGCAGCACTTTCAGACTTGAAAAGTACAGGGAAAATCCATCCGTCCATTTTTAGCAGCGCTCATCCTGAAGAGGCTCGCGGGGAGTTGCTGGAGCCTGTCCCAGCTGACTTTTGGGCAAAAGATGCACGACCCTCCTGAACTGCTCGCCGGGCTGCAAATGGCCCCTGCCCATTTGCAGCCACATGCACGCCGGCACCGAGTGGGACACAAGTCCGGCGAGTGGACCGCGACACCATCGGCGAGATACAGTACAGGGAAAATATCGAATCAAATGTAAAAGAAGATCAACTTAGAAAATGCCCTTTCTGGAGAAATTGCACGAGAATGGTGACACACCGAATACAAAAAAGTATGGAAACATTGGAATTATATTGAGTGATATTGAAAGATGTGTAATGATTTTATTTTATTTTATTTTTTGTGAAGTGTGGAATGATCAGGAATGATACCAAATAATGTGGAATGCTGTTAAATGGTATCTGATGGTTTGATGCTGACAAATATGGATTGAAATTGGTGAAGAATGTGCAATTTGTTGGTTACATGTGGAATGAGATTGAAAGATAAAGAATGATATGGGTGAAAATATTGCTTCCAGGGCTGCTGGTGCAGCGGTCCACTCGCCTGACGCGTGAGCGGGCAGCGCGGCATCGGTTCCCGCTCCGTGACGATGTGCGCGTGGGTGCGAATGCTCGTTTTGTCTCCATTTGTGCCCTGCGACTGACTGGCGACCACTTCAGGGTGTCGTCTGCGTTCCGCCCCAATGTCGGCAGTCTTCAGAAGAAGCGGCGTTGGAAATGGATGGATGTCGAATTACCGCCTCGTCAAACGAACTCAATGCACAGCACCGCCTCTGGCAGCAAAAGGTAGTGCACCCGCTAAGTAAACGTTTTCCAAAGCGGGTCCGATGAACCACTTTGCATTCATGGCGTTACATGACTCCCTCATGTTACAAGCGCGTGGGGATGGGGAGTCGGCGCGTTCAATTTGGTGATTTGGGCTGCAGAATGTCACCATGTGGATTTTATTTGCGTGATGACTTTGAAAGAAGAGCACACGAGGGCGATGCGAGATGTCGCCTTGCCGCTACCTTGCCACGTGATTGACCACGGGGGAAAAGTTGGTGGGTCCGTACAGCTGCACCGTCTTAAGGCTTTGATGGTACGCGTCCAGAATGCCCTCCATGCCGTTGCAGTATGGGTTCTCGATGTTGCCGTTCTGGTCCCGCAAAAAAAAAAGAAAAAAAGAGAACAATTAAATAGCAGAGTTGCATCAGAGGTGAGCGGAAAAGTTGGGGCGCCAGCAGCAAAGAAAGGGTTAACAATAAAATGGTACCTTGGTCTTGGAAGCGCACCAAAATTTGCATCGTTTGGAGCAGGACCAAAAGAGTGTTGAACTATTTTCAAGTAGCGCCACGACGAGCGAGTTGTTTGAATCCTCCCGTTTTTTTTCTTCCCATTCTGCCAGTGGCTAGCGAGCGAGCGGGTTGGTTCATACGTCGGTCCCCTGACATTGACTAGAGACCGGTTCCACTTTTGGGAGAAGAGAGCACTCGTGCAAGTGCGGAGAAAAAAAAGATACAAAGTCCACACAGAAAGGCTGAAGGCCAGATTGAGACCCCGAACTTCTGCTGTCTGACCCTCATCATTTGTGACATCAGCATTTTTATTTATTTTTTGCCCATCGAGAGAGTCAGCGTACCCAATTATGAATAAAATGTCACTTTCAGGAGTGAAAGTTGATTTCCAATTTTTTTTTTTTCCCCACAAGCCTCTCAGGAAGTAGCGCAAGGCTCCAATGATACGCCGCCGTGAATCTTAATTTGTTGATTTGAATGACAAGACAGAGCGACGCCGACGTCGACCGGCCTCTCATTAGCGTCGACAATCAGCAGCCGGCTGAGAGACGAGACAAATTGATTTCATAAGGCAGTCGGCTTGACAGAAACTCATTTGCACTCGAAAAGATACATGACACGTTTCTTCGGAATGATGCGGCGCGTGTGTGGAAAAGGCGGCCATTCTCGCGCGCCTGTGCCTGTTTGCTGAGGAGCGTACTCGCTACACTCGCTACACCGCATTGCAGGCTGCATCAAAGGGTGAACGCTTTGAGTTTTGGGGCACTTTTTTCCAGAAACAGACGATATCATTGCCATGCCAGGTGAAAATGTCGCGTTCATGTGTGATCGTGTTACAGTGAAACCTCGTTTCCACCATCCCGATAACGTTCACATTTTAAAGTCCCGATTTCCCATCATTCCCTTTTTTGATTTGCCGATTTTGGTGACAACGCATACCTGTAGAACGTAAACTTCATTATAACGACCAGATTTTCCCCACAAAATAGTGAAAAAGGCCTTGACGAGGACGAACCGCGGGAAGCGAACCGCCGCCGCGACCTTGCGTACGAACAAAATGGACAGCGCGGGATTCCCCTACGATGTTGCTGATCGATCAGATGTGTGAAAACACACAAATCTCGCTGCCTGCGAAGGCTTGAACTTGTCCCTCACTTTTGAAAGAACATAGCTGAGCCCAGACTACGGATTGGCAAAGTCGACGATTTTCGACAATCATCCATCATGGCAACAAAATAACGGCAGAATTATAGAGGCCAACAAATTGAAAGACGATCGTCAACGACTTTGGGCTGCGGCGCATCCTGAACTGGGAGAAGGCACTTTTCGTTTGCTGACTGAATGTTTTCTTTCTGTCTTACCAAATTTGCAATTGATGTTTCAACTGTTTTAGACGTTCATGTTTTTAGCTCTATGAATGCTCCTCCTGTATTATACGTCGTAGTTAGCGGCCATTTTATTGGAAGTGGTGACAACGAATTACCGCTATAATTGGAGAGATTCGTCCTGTCCCTCCAGGTACGTCGTCACCAGGTTCGGCTGGACTGTTTTTATCCTGCTTTCGTTTCATTGTTAGCTTGATAGGACTGGCGGGTGAGTTTTTTTGTGAAAATCAGGACTATGATTTGGATCTTGTATGACCGTCGTGGGGCAGTGAGTCAAGACGTAGCCTCTTAAGCTAGCCGCTACAAAGCAAGCTGCCAACTGGCTGGCTAGCATATACTGATTTGCCCAAGTCAAATACACAAAGTTAAAAAAAATAAAATAAAAATAGCATTGTCCGTGAAGCTAATAAGGTTTTTTTACGATGGTGACATTTTGGACTCCGGAATGAATGATTCCAAATAGAAGTGATCCTAATGGAAGGATTTGTTTTGAAACCTTAGGAAAGTTGAACTTTCACGAGTAAGACTGAATGAAAGCCTCAAATGACTCACCAAGGGGAACTCATGGGAGACCCTCCCATCAGGGGGCAGCTTGGCACCAAATCCCAAAGCGGGGAACATCTTATCGCTGTCGTAGTCCTGGATGATCTCGCCCACCGCCTTCAAGGCCATGGCGTAGGCGTTCATCTGGTACGGGTTCATGTAGTGGAGCGAAGTCGACTGAGACGGATTGCCTGTCAACGCCAGAGAGGAGTCATCCGTGCCAGACCTCAGAAGCAAAAAAAAAAAAAAAAAGCGGGATTCCCACCGACGGCGACTTGGGCATGCGTGGAGCGGAACCGAGCGGCCGTGATGCCTTTGCCACTTATTACACTCCGCTAATATGACAGCTGCTGATTACAAAACACCTCTCAGAATATTTCCCCATCGGTATGTATGCATCTCCACGGACGATATCGAAATACACAACGTAGTTGATGTCGAGAAGCCGTTTTAGACATTTCATTTCATAGGAGACACATGAACAGTTACCGTGTTCCAAAAAAAAAAAAAAAATCCAAAAAAAAACAAAATCACATCATCCAGGATGTTGTACAGTCAGTCTCGGTGAAAAATAATCAAATCCTGATATCTTTGGCATCCGGTACGGCGCACAAGCGAGGAAAGGCAACACTTACCGTTGGATGCCGTGAAGTCGATGGCCACTGTGAAGTGAATCTGCGTCCTGAAACATGCGAACAGAAAGAGGCGCTTGCTTTCTCTCAGAAAGGAAAGAACTTTTTTTTTTTTTTTTTTAAATTGGGATCTGTCCATCTAAGAACAAGAAACAGCCTTCATGCTTCCAGTTCGGACACTTTGATACTCGTGTCCATCAGCCTGCCGAGCCATCCAAGCCCAGTGGAGCGATCCGTTCGCATGTCGGCGAGTCTGACAGGAATCAATCCACTCATCCCTTCATCAACATCAGCCTGTATTTAACTTGACAAAATTCAACCCCCCCCCCCTCAACCCCCTCCAAAAAGCAAACCTTTTATTCCACCTGGTGTCCAAACTACGGCCCGGGGGCCATTTGTGGCCCATCATCCATTTTTTCATCGGCCTGCGACGTGACAAAAAAAAAAAGTACAAAATAGTAAAAATGGCCGCAAGGTAAGTCAAAAAAAAAGGTGAAGGTGAGCAGAGTGAGAACCGTTGAAGTTTTCGCAAAATTCAAAGATGCAAATAAACCATGAAAAGAACAACAGCGTTGATCTTCAAAACACTGGAGTGAATAAAAATCTTCCCAAGTTAGAGCCACTTTGTGAGTGAATGAGACTCGAGTAACTGAAAAATGGCCACCTTACTTCTGTTTTTTTTCTTGTTGTAGTACCGAATGTGGAAATTCAGCTGCTGTTCAGTGCAGAGCCGGATCTATTTTGTGAGAGAGAGGGCTGTCGGCCACCCCAACAACTTGGAAAAAGTCCTCAACTGTTTGCCTTTACACCGCCAACAGAAACCCGATGAAATGAGCTCGACGATACAAACGATCTATCATCGCTTTGGCGTGTTTCAAAAAGTTGACGAAATTCATCCTTGCATTTTTCTGCAGGCGGCCCTCAAACCAAAAAACTTTGGACAGCCCCGATGTATGCTTTCAGTTCAAGGGCTGCGGCTTTGGGGACTTGGAAGCGAAGCACATTTTCAGCAGCATCCAAGCGTCTGCCCCGAGTGCCCGGCGAACCTCCAGGGAGATGTCAGAGAGGCACGAACCATCTCGGCTCCACCCCCCCCCCGTTTTTTTTTTTTATCCCCCAAGCTAGTGCCGGCGCACGGCTGTTCTCTTAAATAAGCCGCTTTCCACCCGTTGATATATGCTCCTCAGTACCTGAGCATGATCCCCTTCGTGACATTTCTAGGCCAACAGAGACCATTAACGTGGCCTCCCTTGAACATCTGCCTTGAACGTTTTTGGGCCAATTAGACTTCAGGTGCCACTTGATTATCCAGACCTTCGGCACGGTGGCACTTCAGGGGATGGGGTGTGAATGAGGAGTCTGGATTCAAGGAGACCTGTCGGAATACCTTTCTGTTGGATTTCATATCCGGGCTAGAAAAGCGGCATTTACGCAGAAATTGCTTGTGAACGCTGCTGGGAAATTCATTCAAACGCACGAAATGCTGAATGTGAGATCGAAAAAAAAAAAAAAAAATCTAATTTAAATGGTGATGGCGCTACCCATCGCCATGTTTTTTACGATGTTTTAAAAACCTCAGCGACGCCGTCCCGGTGAAGCGAAAGGCCTGCAGCAGTCAAGCGAGAGCCGCCTTCGACGCCACCAACCCAAGCTTCTTCCTCCGCCTCTCTCGAAAGGCAATCTTGATGAATGTTAGTTCATGTCGAAGGTTTTAGAATTCAAGATCGAAGTGAATACGTGGACCGTTGTGATCTTCGTCTCAAATACGTCAGGTAGAAATACTCTTGACAGATTTTAAACATGCTCGTACCCGCACACACTTACGTGAAAATTCCTAGCTGGTGGTTTTCACCTGTCGGGGGGGCCTTTCTGGTCCCCATGAACTGCGAAAAACGAGGGACTACTTTATGACAGTAACGCGTTAGCGGCTGCGCTGCTAAAGTGGGAGGACCTTCGACGTGGGCCACCTGGCTGAACACAAACATGCGGCTCATTGGAATGAGTGCCACTTCCTGTTAAGATGGCGCAAAGCAAAAAGGACGGCCAACGAAGGATCAGGCCGTAGGCGCACACACACACGCACGCACGCACACACACACGCACACATTCTGCGTCGGCTTTTGCTCCCGGCTTTCCTAATTTGCCTTCTGAGGTGCGTCGGGGATTAGCTGAGATGCTGAGCCCACAAATGATTCCACGATGGGAAAATCAATGCCGAAGGATGTTTGACTGATGCTGCAGGATTGTCTGGCTTTTGCCTCCTCGTGCAAACAACTAATAGCCGGGCTGGGGATGACTATTTTTATCCCTGCCTCCCAAGCCAGTCGTCTGTAAAAGTCACGGAGAATCTTCCCTTGACTGATGCTTTGCACCGCAGACAAATCAACGTGCCATCGCCATCGCCGTCGCCATGGCCTGCCACCGGATCAAAAGTCCACGGATCAAATTGCTTCTCCCTGCAACGAACAGCGGGCGGCTTCCTATCGCATCTTTGATGGCCATTCTCAGCGAGCCAAAGCTGTCGAGCGAGAAGTCTTGAGCGGTGCCAAGCTGGAAACAATATGGCGCCCGTGCACGTCACTGTCCGCACTTTCTAATGCGACGATCCCTCGCTATATCGCGCTTCATTTATCGAGGCTTCAGTACATCGTGTGCTGCATTCAGAAAAAAAAAATGACTCAAAGGTTTTACATCTGCTTGTATTGGAAAGGCAACGGGCACTCATTCAAGGCGCACGATTGGTTCCCGGCGCGACGTCGATCAATGACAGCACGAGTGGATTTATCCCGTGAACTGATTGGTTGAGCATCTTTGCAAACGCTCCTTCGCGGTTTTTCACTGATCGCGGCCAGGTCCCGGTCACCATTAACGGCGATAAGTGAGGGATCACTGGATACTTTGAGTCGCACAAATATGGTTCGCGAATCACTTTTCAAGGCTCCACAAACCACTCCCCATATTGTCAATTTCGTCACAATTAAAAAAAAACAACAACCAACAATTTCGGTGAGGTAAACGGTGACGTCTACGCAGCTTATTTGTCTTTGTAGACGAAAAGAGATTCAACTGTATCTTTATTCGCGACAGTGTTTTGAAGATAAATGACTCTTTTAGTCAAAAATGGTTTATTTGTAGCTTCGAAGATAGCGAAAACTTCTGCAGTCCATAAACAAATTCTTGAGCAGTAATGACAACTTCCCTTCTCGCTCTGCCCACCTTCAGCTTTTTTAACGAACCTTGCCGCCCATGTCAAATGTCAAATGGGCCCCCGGGCCATCGTTTGGACACCCCTGTTGTGGATTTTTATAGTGACGGATGATTTTGCAATTATTGTCTCTCTTATCTTTGAGTTGCAAAGCTGCCGTTCGATTCTCTCTCTCTCTCTCTCTCTCTCTCTCTAAGTGGCTACTATTTCAAAAGGTAATGTTTGTGTTTTGGGATCGTCTTCTTTCTGGGCTGGATTCACAGTTGCAGTTAATTGCATGACTTTATCTTCCATTTGCTCATAGCAGGCATATGCTGTCTTGCCTTTCTCAGCATTTTGGCCTTTGCGCCCTCTCCAGCAGGCGCAGGATGTTCCTTTCGCTTTGGTGTGTGACAGTGGACGGTCATTTCTTCCGGCGAGCTTTTTGATGTCATGACCTCTCTTGGCTGCCCGTTCCTTTTTTTTTTTTTTTTTTGGAAGCCACCATCAAGCCGCACGCTGCCGTGTTGCCACGTTGCTCGCGCGTTTCTTCCCATTTGAAAATACGATCCTGGCACCGGCTCGTGTCTCCGGCACGGATGCCGTCATCACTTCCCGCTTTCCGCTAAGACAAACACAATACGTCGGGAGTCTCTGAAGACAGAACGTCCTCCAGGCTGCGAGTGCAAATGTACAGTATCGGCACCGATGTCAATCGTATGTTGACAGACTGCTGCCTATTGTGTCTTAAGTGAAAAAAAAATAAAAAATCCAAAGGGCTCAGCATGGACGTCCTCTCCATTGGCCCACTTATGGCCGCTGCCTGTTTGCCAGCCCCACCGGGGGCGAAGAAGCTCTTTTTGTTTTGAACGAGCGTTGAAGAGACTTTTAGCTCGCAGGGTGAAAGGTTTCATTTCACGACGGGGGTACGGCGCGAAGCCCTCGGAGACGGCGGCCGTTATTCAAGGTTGCACGCGTTCCCTAATTGGTTCGTGTTGCGCGGGAAATAAGAGACGTAATTACGCAACGTGCCGAGGGTTGAATGAAGCGAGACCTCCGCTTCAGCTGGCCGCGGATAAACGTGAAGGTCTGCTCTTTACTTCTCCGTGGGGGGGCGGTACTTGCCTCTTTTCTGTCATGGGGAAGCACACGATGAGGGATTCCTCCGTTTGAGTGCATTTGATTGATCTCATGGAAAAAACAATCCATTTTTTGACATGGTTATTTATTCCCGGCGTGCAGGCTACATCGTTGCATGACTTCTCTCATCGACAAACCACTTTGGCGCAAAAAACGAGGGGTTGCTGTAGTACTATTTTACGATTATTTGATATGACTCTTTTACTTTCAAACGAGAACAACTTACCATATGGCCAACACTGTGTGAGTGTGAGAGAAAGTGCGTGAGAGGGAGAGAGAAAGAGGACAGATCTGGGACAGCGGTTCCCACCGTGTACAGCCAGACAGAAGACAAGTAAAAGCAGGGCAAGGAAAACACGTTCAACCAGTTGCCCGGCCTTAATTATTGGGACGTTTTTTTTTAATTTTTTTTCTTTTATCATTTATCATCGGCACTGACATCGGACCTGAGTTTAAAGGGGACATACTTTAGAATACAATGGAACCTTGATTTCACAGATGAATTGTGTGTGTGGCGAGGGGGGTTACGTGAATCGAGGCACTTTTTTTTTTTTTTCCTGCCCTAAAAATGCCCAGTACAGTATGAAATGATTGTTGAAAAAATGTTGGAGATCAAAAGGTTTTCAAGTTATTCAAAATTTACCTTGCGGCGATATTAGTTTTCTCCTCTGTTACGATTGGATGTGATAGATTAGCGCTTCACAAAAAACAAACAACCCAAAAAAAAAAAAAAAAACAACAACAACAAAACCAAAAAAAAAAAAAAAAACCCAAAACAACAATAGCTGTATACTGGACCAATACGAGCAGGTTTGTCCACGTGCAAGTCTAGTCGTCAACAACAACGAATAGTTAGCTCTGTCGCGCTCCTTTTGAGCTGAGCGCCTACGGTCATGCTAAGCTAATCTTCTCAAGATGGCCGCCACGTCGGCACGTCTGTGAGCCCGCTGGGTCGACTGCATATGTGGCGACTGCGTCTCAACCGGATTGGACGAATGTGATTGTGTCACCGTGCCTTTTACAGAGTTTGTTTTTTTTTTTTTTTAGAGGGGGGGGGCAGGGGCGGTAACTCACCCTCCTTTAATGTAATCCAAGAATGTGTGCTCTGACTCCGCGCTGAATGACATCAAGGACACCTGATGAAAAAAAAAAAAAAACAACAACAAATCTTAAATGTTTGCTCATGAACGGGAGTGCAAACTGCTCATCTAACATGAACGCATGAGCCAGTCACACCTGTGAGCACACAAAATGCCGCGCGTCTCATTGATTATAACGCGCCTCCGACTGTTTGCATCGGAAAACTGCGACATCGCGAGTGAGCGGAGTAAAAGCAGCGCCGAGCTTGGCGTCCAATGTACTCACCGTCCCAGAGTTGACGTATCGCTTTTTCTTGAGCTTCTTCTTGGCGTTCACCACCTTGGGTGGAGATGGGGTGGGGGTGGGGGGATAAAGTAGGATCATGATCACGGGAACGATTCTTTTCATCCCTCCCTGGGCGATAAACAATGAACACATCTTTGCCCTCCTGTACCATGCCCGAAAGGGTAATGGAGCGTACACGCAATCCAATAGCGGCGTGCGAATGAGATGGCATCGATCACGCGGCGCAGCCACAGCGACATTATTCAGAGGCTCGCAGGGGTGCGCTTCTGCCGTGAATTACATTGCGAGGCGTTTGTAAATGATGCGCCATCGCACCGATAAGCAAGGCAAGCTAGCTGCTCCTGCCGTGGAGAAATCATTCCTTGACAAAGGACTTTATCTGCTCCTGGAGCAAAATTAAATCAAAGGCCGGCGGGCGCCGCGAGGGGCTTCCCAGCTCAAGTGGGATCCAGCTTTCACTCACGGGCAACTACTTTGACCGTCCCAAATCAGGTGACAACACCGACACTCGCGTTGTCCGCGCGTTCCGTGTCGAGAGCGACGTGCCGGCGACGCGAGTCGCGCTCAAGCCACGTGCGCTCGAACAATCGCACGCCTTTGTTGTCAAAAAGAGTTGCTCTCAAACTTTGCGTTGGCAAAACGATCACTTTGAAATTTTCTATTGGTATGACAATCGCACACGCTTGTGAAGCGGCTAACACTTGCGTGACAACAGTCGCGGTGCTGGAACCCTTTCAAGAATGGATATTTGTACACAAACGGTGTCGCGACACATGTAGAGTGACAATATTCCAATAATCAAAAGCACATATTTTTTATCGTCTGCGGCAAACGACTGATATTGCAGTAGCTCACTGAGTCACGGCGCAGTAGACAATCTAATTGAAGGATTTTTGCGCCCAAATATTAAAATAACACTAATTATAATCTTTAATTTTGGGCTGGGGTGTTTTGTCTTCCTTCCAACTGCTGTTTTTTTCCATGGAAAATGCTTCTTGGAAGTTATCTCTCACCATTTTTTGGAAGACTTTTTGGGGGGGAAAAAGAAAAAAAGAAATTGATAAATATACATGCATGCTTTTCAAAGTATAAATAATGGCGATGAAAAAACAGATTCAGAGCATTTCCACTCATTTTCAATATTTCAATTTTTTTTTTTTTTTTTAAACGTCATCTACGGAATGAACTGACTTGATCTGTCCGTTTTCCGAAATCCCAACGTGGCCCCATGAGCACAAATGTTTCCCAAGCACCGGCCTCGTGTGTAAACTTTGTGAATTTGCAGTCACCTCATAGACGTTCAGCTGGCTCGGACCCCGACATAATTCTTTGTAGCTGCTGGTGAATTCGCCAATGAAGTCGTGGCTGGGAGACAATGACACCAACAGAAAAATGCCACTCGTTACACGATGCACCCATGCAGGAGTGTGTGTGTGTGTGTGTTTGTGTGTGCGCGCGTGCGTGCGTCTGACCTTCCATCTCTGTCCCAGTCATACACTTCCACTTTGATTGTCCTGTAAAATGAAAAGAAAAACAAGAGGACAAAGACATTTGTTATTGTCAAGGTGAGCATGAGTAAGACTGAACGAAGCAAAACAAGCTGCCAAATTGTGATTCATGAGAATAAAAAAAAAAAAAAAGAAAAGACAAATCTGCTCCACTCTATGTTTGCTGTTCCTGAAACAAGAAGAAAACGGATATGAAACCATTTTCAAAGCACAGGATGCGGCCGATGCCAACACGATTTGGAGTTGGGGCCCCATCGAGCCCAAAGGTTCAAGTGACAAGAGAGAATCGCCGCGGCTCTTCTGCGACCGGCGAAACTCGTTCGATTCAAAGCGAGTGTTTTCAAGTGCGGCGGGTTAAGTTGAAGACAACGCTGCAGACATCAACATGTCCTTCGGACTGCGATGAAACAAACATTTGATCAACATTTGTATTTCTTTCATAAACCTGAAACACATTCGAGTGGGAAAAGGGGCCAGTCAAGGTCGGAAATGACAGCGAGTCCAAATCCTCAAAGGTGTCGTCCGGGGCTGCCCACCCTCCACCTCCTCCTCCATCTGTCTGAACCAATTGACTCACAGGTGAGCACAGATATGGACAGTGAAAAGAGCAACAAAAAGAAAACCCCATCTTCAGAGACACCCGCCATGCGATTAGGGGCCAAACTTTGAGCGCTTCTTCACATCATCGGTCAGAAGCACAACATCAACAAATATCTTCGTCAAGGAAGCTTGATGACGAGATGAGACGCGATGAAAATGCTGGTCACGTGCCGGCAACGCTCATTCAAGTGTGCATGACCATTTTCTTGGTGAACACAAACGAGACGAAATGCGCTTTAGAAATTTAAAAAAAAAAAACGTACAGACCTTCATTATGGTTGACCAGAACGGAATGTGACAAACGTCACCAAGTGTCACGTGTCATTTCTGTTTCCGAGCTCCCCGATGTCTTTTGCCCGAAATTAAGTGTACATCGCGGGTTCCTCCTCCGTTGCTAAGCAACGCCACCGAGCAGCGACATTTCCGGCGGCACAGCGCACGTGGTCTGAAAACACGTCCGGTAAACAGAAGCAAATCTCGCTTTGCCTGTGAGCCTTGCACTTGTTTTAAAAATAAAAATTCAAGTGGGATGCTATTTTAAAGTAGTCCGTGCGCACAAAGTACTTCCTCATGCGCGGATAATAATTAGAGCGTGTGCAAATGCCACGACTGGGTATGAACGCGACTAAAAGGGACGCGAATTAAAATGACAGCTTCACACGTGTTCATGTGGCTCATTCGCCATCGACGCCACGTCGGCGATGGCGCGGTGGCGCGGTACCCCACCTGTCGTAGTCTCCGTTGCAGAGCGCTCGCACGGGGATGGAGAAGGGCTGCCACACGGGGTTCAGCGTGCTCTTCACCACTTCCGTCTTGTGGCAGATGGTGAAGCTGAAAGTGAAGGACGGAAAAGAGGGTTTCAGGCGCAGCGCCAAACCTTTTTCCAGTCTGCCCCGCCGCCGCCGACTCGGCTTTGTGAGACCGCCGCTAAAAGGCAAGAAAAGAGAAAAAAAAAAAAAAAAAAACCATTCCGTGCCATCCTCATTGCTCCTGTAGAAGACCATGAAAGGGTCCGACTTGCCGAAGAAGTCCTTCTTGTCCAATTTGTTGGCGCAAAACTGCATGGTGGTGTAGTCCTGGAGAAGGAGAAAAAAAACAAAAAAAGGACAAGGTGGGAGGACAGCAGACCCGGCGGACTCGTGGTCAGCACGTCTGCCAGTTGAGAGGTTCGGAATTCGAGATTGTGGAGTGCGCAAGTTGTCTCCGCATCCGAAACCCGCTAGCATGCTAGCGAGTTGTAGATTCGCAAGTGCGAATGTGAATGCCAGTCCATTGTTGATTTGTGCAGACAGGAGGCCTATTCACAATGCGTTGTCGTTATTGTCTTGTATAAATGCCGGGTTTTTTTTTTTAAGGGGGGGGGGGGGGGGTGGTTGTATTGCGGTCATAATAGAAATGTAAACAGGCAGAGAGAAAATGCTCATTTGTGGCCGCCTGTCATTGCCAGACAGCCAGTCGCAGTCCCGCCAATGAAGGTTCTGCTCACTTCTCGCCAGATTGTTTGGATCCTCATCCAAGCAAGACTCTTCCAACACTTCCACAACCACCTCGAAATTTCCTCCATCGTCATTCAGCCTCCCGCCCTGACCAGAACTTCTGTCTTTGCATGTTTGCCTGTCCCTGTGGCTGCCGGCGGGAGGTTGGGGGGTGTCTCGGCACCATAACAACGAAGAGCTTCCCTGTCCCTGTCTCGGTGGTCTCTGTTCTGCCTTGTGTGGATTAGAAATAACGTGGTGCCAAAACCTATTCCAAATCTTCAAAGCGTATCAGTCTGGACAGTGAAGATAACTCCCATGGACGAAGACTTTGAAGTCTTTCAAAACTTTGAAGTGAATTGAGTGGCTTCTCACCTAACCCGTCACAGTTGCTATCTTAAGTCCTTCGCAACGATTCCGGCAAACTGCACGTGTGTGCTACCCACCTCACCACATGATGATGATGATGATGATGATCATCATGTACTATTATTACAGTTATTGTTATTAGCGTTATTATGATGTGATGCAGGAGCAGGAGACGAGCTGAGAACTCTGCGCGCGAGTGCAGCTAATAATACACGAGGAAGACTAGCATTAGCATAATTACACTCATTTGGGCCACCGTTTCAATGGAGGCTGCCATTAAAGGCACAATGAACGCGGCCTTAAAACGCTCCTGCTTTCAGATGGTGGTCACGCTCTTAGCGACTGTATGCTAATGAGGCGGCGCAGCCGAAAGGTAAAAGACACCCGAGGCGAAAGCCCCGACGTCCAGAAAAACAGTCGACCGCCGCTAGCTCGCGCACCGTTGTGGATGGGTCTTTGCAAGTCTCCAAGAGAGAAACCAAGATGAATCCTTTCAAAAAAATACAATTCAACGGAAAAAACAAAGTTCTGCGGACACGATTAAAGGTGCCGAGAACTCAGCGGAGGCTCCGAGGGGGGATGGAGACTTTTCCGTTGTTGCCGCTCCCGCTCTTCGGAGTGAGCGTTCGGCAAGCCATCTTGAAAACTCGTCTTGAAACTCATTTTTATTCTTCGGCTTCTGACTCAGCATGCAACTTGATTTTTAGTTGGACTGTTTTTGTGCTTTTGACCGTCTTTGTTTGGAATGCATTGTTTTGTTTTTTTGGTTGTCTGAATTCTTTTTGCCCCAATGTACAGCACTTTGTGCACAGTGCCGGTTGTTTTCAAGTGCTCCGGAAATACACTCGAGTGGAGTTGAGTCTATCATACAAGGCGCCATTCAAAATTATTGACCGGGAGCAGCAGTGCTGCGCGAATAATATCCAAATCCATGGCGCAAATGCTGTGTGTAGGCGATTAAGAATCATTGGGCCCGCCCCCTGCAATTTCACGTGCTACGCTAAACGCTGCGCTCTGGCAACCGGTCTGCTTTGGCATCATCTTAGGAGGAGGATCATGGGCAGGAGAAGGGCAACATGGCCACTCGAAATATCAAAAACGCAAACAACCCCCGGAAAGAAGAGAGCGGATTTCAAACCCCGCTGTCGCCAATGCTGATTTGATGACACCTATTAAAGCTCCTCCGCCTCGTCCATGTTGTTTCCAATCATACATTTGATGTTTCTAATCATCACTGTGAGGATGATGAAAATTGTGAGGAGCTGATAAAAATAGTCTGCGGTGGCAAAATCAATCAGCCTCTTTTCTGTTTTCTTCCCCAATCCTGCTCTTGCCAGCACTCGTGTCAGAGTCGACATGGCCCCGCAGGTCCACGATGCGCTTTTCTTCCCGCACTTACTGGAAGGTTAGAGAGCCATCCGTCCATTCGTGATCTGAAACCGCTTCACCTCGCAAAGGTCGCGGGCGTGCCGGGGTCAATCCCAGCAGGCGGGGGGACACCCTGAACCGGTTGCCAGCCCATCGCAGGGCACACAGAGAGACCAAGATTCACACTCACGCCGCGGGACAATTTGGAGGCTTCCATCAACCTGCCGTGCAGGTTTTCGGAATGTGGGAGGAAAGCGGAGTCTCCGGAGAAAAGCCACGCGAGCACGGGGCGAACATGCAAACTCCACACAAGAAGTCCGAAGCCCGGAATCGAACCCCGCACTTCTGCACTGCGAGGCCGACGCGCTGGCCATTCGACCACCGTCAGGTATGGAGCCCTTCTTAAAAATTTACACTCTCCGCTGCGGCTACTTCAAAAAAAAAAAAAAAAATACATCTCACATTCTCAAACTGTCCTGTTCAGTCTCCAAATGTGCACCGTTTGCCGGATAATATTTCAAGGTGGCGTATGATGTCAGTGACTTTTTCAAAGTTTGGCTTACGATTGGATCGCCCTTGACATCCACACAAACAAACAGACCACAAACGTGACTTTGAAATGGCCTCTGGGTGGTTGTGGTCATGATGTGCGCCTTTGCAATCCGTTTGCGCTATTTAGCTTCATTTACTCCAATCTGAAAGCTTCCCGGCAATCGACTTGAGTCGCATATATATATATATATATCTCCATTTTTTTTTTTCAGTGCGCACACGCCAACACGAGTGTCTCCCCAGCTGCACACACAGTAAATATGCTTTGAAATGAAGGTTTTAGCGTGAAATAAATGCCGACGCCCATGTAGAACGCAGCACGCGGCTGAGCGAGTGGGAATAAAAGATCTCTTTGTGTCTTCACCGCTGTGCTTTTTTTTTTTTTTTTTTTTTTTTTTTTGCTCATTTGCATCCGCTAGAAAGCCGCCAGAGTGTTGGGGCGGATGTTCGATGCAGCGTGCGTTCGTAGCGAGCAGGGAAATCGGAAATATTAGCACAGAGCCGAGTCAATTACCCATCGAGTCCCGGCCTCAGGTAGACATTCTGGAAAATGTGTCTTAAGTGGATGAATTAGCTCACCCGGGAGAGTGAAAAAGAATTTACCAGTGATTTCATCAGTGATGAAATCACTTTGGCGCAGGCTTGAATCATCCGGCGCAGCCTTTGCTAAATGCTCCCGAAAGCCACGCGCGTGCCCTTCCACAACCTGACAGAGTCGGCGCACCCCCTCGTCCCTCGCATGCACCTCCCAACGGCATCAGAATGACGGCGTGTAACGCCAGGAGACGTCCCCAAAATGTCTTTGATTGCCGATATTCATAATTCAACCAATAAATACACCAGAAACTGTTATCCCAAAACACTTTGATATCAATTCAGATCCAAATCATTGGCTCATCGATGATTTAATTTCAATTTTGTGATGTGTTTCGAAATAAGGAAAATAATGAATGACTCAAAACCTAATCATAACATACATACAATGTCAAGAATCAAAGAGTTGGTGCATCGTGCTTCAATGCTACCATTCAATTCATCGTGCGGCTCCTTCTGTTGTGCACGCCTTGGTCACCGGGGGGCAGTAGAATACAACTCAACTCAAGTGTGTATTTCGACTTGAAAACAACCACCGCTGTCGACAAAGTGCTGCACGTGGGGCAAAAATAATTCATACAACAGCAAACAATAAAACGAACAATTAATATCGAAGACACCGGGAAGCACAAAAACAGCCCAACTACAAATCAAGTCTCATGCTGAGTCAAAACGCCAAAGAATAAAAATGACGAGTTTTATCACGCGTTTTCAAGATGGGCAGCGAGGGGCTTGCCGAACGTTCAGCGGGAGGTCATTCCAAAGAGAGGCACCACGGTGGAGCGCAGGATGGGGCGAGACCATTTCAAGATTTGAAGACGAGTAATAGGATCTTCCAAAGAATTCTAAAATTTGGAGGGAGCCAGCGAATGAAGGACAGAGTAGGAGTGATGCGCTCCCTCTTACAAATACCAGTCAAGAGGCGAGCAGCGGCATTTTGGACCAACTGGAGATGCTCAATGGAGGATCGGTTGACTCCAAAGTAAAATGCAGTTGAATTCCTGAATCGTGATGCGCAACTGGGCAGAGCTTTGTTGCATTTCTAAAAAAAATCCAGACAAAGACGAGTCCAAAAGTAACCAATGTCAGTCAAGAGAGGACAACTTGATGACCATTCTGCAACATGTTGACGAAACAAACGCACGGTGTCGTGCTTGTGAAGCTCAAACTAAAAAAGGCAAATAAATAAATCAATAAACAAATCATGGAATAGTGTGAAAAGATTGTTTAACAACCCCAGCTGTTTCTCTCTCTCTTCGTGTGGAACATCAAGTTGGCAAGTATCAAATCATTTGATGCTTGCTTTGCTTTTATATCATTAAACATTCATGGAGGAAATGCATGCGGCTGCAACTGCCAACTTTATAGCCGAGAGGGAAACAAGTGCTGAGCGTTAAGTCGTCCCCCGGCTTCACAGGAGGAACTTAATAGGATTGTTTACCATCCTTTGTGAGCCAATCGAGATCGCAGCAGACTATACAATATTAACGCGTACGCGCCGGCATCCAGAGACAACAAGTCCATAGGGGGGGTTCTAGCACTGAAAAGTTTGTTTTTTTTAGAGTTGTCTTTATCAAGGCTCTCCGACATACTTGAGGACAAAATCCACAAAGCCTCAAGCTTTTCAGCCAACCCAACAACCTCTTGGAATGCTTGGCATATATCTGCTTCTGATGTTCGAAGGCAAAACTTACTCTGCAGTTCCCCAACTCCTCCGCAGACAAGATGATGGTCCCGCATTTCTTCCCGGGTATTCCACTGCAAAAAAAAAAAGAAAAGAAAAACACAAATGATGAGAACGCACGCGGCCGACGAAAGAAAACAACGGCGGCCGGCAGCCCGACATGTCAAACCGCACCCGCAAAACATTGGAGAAATTGCGCCACAGCTCTAATGAGCGCACGATTTGCTTTCTCCGCTGCGGCTGCTTCGACTTGCGCGTACGTGGTTTTTTTTTTATTTTGTTTTTTCTGATCTTGATGCAATGTGGTGGAAAACTGTTGAAACAGCGTCATCTGCTCGGAAAAAAAAAAAATCCCGTCAGAGCATGAAGGCTTATGAGAACACCAGAGCGGCTACGGTGGCTAAGCAATCCAATTATGTGAACACCATATTAGAAGATCAATTGCTCCATTGATAATTCATATTTAGCAGGGGTTTTTTTTTTTGGTTTGTTGTCTTGAGAACGTTTTCGTCACATCCTTGGCATTCGCCGAACTAAAAATATGGGAATTTGATTCACATCCATTCACGCAACGTCGCCATCGTTCAGGTCAGTTGGAGTCGACCCAGGACTGGTCAGCAGCTACGGTGATGTCACTGCAAATTTGGACGTATCAATCAAGATAGCAGCAGCACCAATCTTGAAAGATGTAAAAAGGGGACAAAAAAAATGGATGGATGGACATCAATGATATGAATTGGTGTCATTGATATTTGTTGGCCAAACATTGAGCTCATGAATCGGTTTTTTTCCGACTAATTTGGGAAATTTAACATGTCTGAAAATCTCCTTCTTTTTTTTTGCAAATGCACAGGATGTGTCGGTGCGGATTCCAAACAGACTCCTCAAAACTCACTCAGTAACGTCACGCTCAGATTCTTTCGATTGCACTTTTTTTATTTTTTTTTCCTGACACTAAAGTCTTGAATGACAAAGTACGAAATTCCGACCCAAAGCAAGGAGCCTTTTTGGGAAGCGCAATGCTCAAATACGGTGGCCTGTCAGGGGAAAAAGCCATTTGACCTTTCAACACAAACAAGTTCTTTTCCATGATGATTTCTAGACACTCCATCCATAGCGGCAATTGCGCAAGTGACAATGGACGGTGAAGCCAGTCGTCACCGGACCAAAAATATGTCATGATGAAGATCCCGCGTGCGTGACAGTGTAATGAGGGACGACGCAGCTCTAATACGACAAATCCTACATGCACCCGTGCTACGCCTGATCTTTTAATGAGGCCGGAATACAAATGAAGCGCCGAGGGCAGATGCGCCGGAGTTGCTTCTTCAAGCTCCACGGGGACCCTTTTCAAGGTGAATTAAGCGCCCTTGAATTATTGATGCTTGCAGACGAGTCGCCGTTTGATGGAAACCTCCAAGGAGCCAGTAAACATTTTCGCTGCTGAGTCCAAGCCCATAATGGCCGAGCCGTCGTCACTGCGGTCATGTGAAGATGCGTTGGCCTCAAAAGGGACTTTTTTTTTTGTTTTGTTTTTTTTCAGTTAGCCACACGGACTCATGACGAGTGACTTTTTCATGTCTTCTTATCGCTCGGTGGTCCCCAACCACCGGGCCCACGGCAAGTTGGTTTGCAACTTGAAATAAACAGAATCCGCCAATAAATGAAAGAACAAGCAGTAAACAGAAAGAAAGAGGAACAACTTGACCAAACGTCCAGCGAGCTAAATGTGCAGCTAATCGGCAGTCGTGACTTCTGAAGATGAAGCTATTTGGACAAGAGAAGTTGGCGGTATTATATGATTTGATTCTACATTTGTTGTACAGTACAGCATTTTACTTTGGAGTCAGCCAATCCTCCATGAAGCTTCTCCAGTTGGTCCAAAACGCCGCCGCGCGCCTCTTGACTGGTACTCGTAAGAGGGGGCACATCACTCCAACACCACTCCAGCATCCCTATACAGTTCTTATTTGTTTTCCAATCTTGAAATGGCCTGGTCCCACCTGACCTCCCCGAGCTCCTCTGCAGCCGCCCGGTGTGACAGTGAATACAGTCACTGCGGTTTTACCCTAAATCCAACCCCCACCCCCGTTTCTTTTTAAGATTGACCCAAGTGGAATGTCGGCTGGCGATTGGGCCGCGCCGGGCATCACTTTGATGATGAAACGATGCGAAATGTGCAGCTGTCCTGCAACAACCCGTTTCGCCGAGACGGCCCGCTGCAGGTAAGGCCGGCCGACGAGCTCGCCAAGCTGCAGCGGTTCAGCCTGCCAATGAGCTCAGTCGTGCTTGACGACTCGAGCAGTCCAACGCTCCCCCGCCTGCAATGTCGTGGCATCATCGTACGCGGCAAAAAGATTCGATGTTTTGCTGGGTCCGCCCAGGCATCATCTCTGTGTATTTTGGGGGGGATTCAACAGTCATATCAGTCAGGAACCAATCATGATGAAAATAACATGTTCCTTCTTGACATTTATGGAAGTGGTTAGCCCGTCGACCTCAAGGTGCAGGTGTGATTGAGGGTGCGAATTCAAAGGACAAGAAGGGAGCCACTTCGATTGGCTGGGAATCAAGTCTGTTGTGTGCACTCCCACAACCACGCATGCGGCCATTTCTTTTTGCGTCCATCAACAAAAATACCCGCCAACAACGAAAACTCCAACCGTGTGCATTTCAGACACGACTTGCGATGGGCATGAAAACCGGGCCCTGACAGTAAGATTGAAAAATGTACTAATAGGAAGACAGCTTCGTGATTTTAGTGTTAAGTGGCCCAATTTCCTGGTACCGATAAGAACTGGAGTTGCGGCATTCTGGGCCATTTTTTCAAATGTGGAAATTTACCCATGATGAGAATCCAATCGATTGAAAATGAAGGAAGGGGTGAACCAGATTTTGGGTGTCTCGTTAGGACAGACGGTCTTTGAGATGTTCTTCAGGGGGGTCGTTTATATGCAGCATTGGTCGCAGCCTTTCGCTGAGTTTTAAAATTCAGCTCGGAGTCAATCATGACCTCACTGAGCCTCAATTGCAGCGTATTGAGATCTGTGACTGTTTTGATTTGGGTCGATTAGTGAGACGGACGAAGTCCAGGGGGCGGGTTGTGCGAAAATGGAGACGCGCAGTCGAACTCTGACTTCCCAATGTCTGCAAATAATTCAAGTTTATTTTACTTTCTACGTATGTACTATTTTCTTTGTATGAATGGTCTTGAATTGCATTGCACCATAAAACATGACAAAAGATGAGCTCTAAATTCTTGCTACTATTATTAGAGTGCAATATTATGGAGCCCCATTTTGATGATTAAGACGACACGTTTTTTTTTTTTTTTTTTTGCCATGTCATGGGGGACTGCAATGGATTGATGGAATTTTCATCGATATGGATGGGGAAAGATGACTTGAGATATGGAACCCCCCCTGAAAAAAAATGAACAAAGAAATCACTTTAAAAATAGAAAGGCTGAATGTGTTCATTTCACCCTCATAAATACGAACGCTCAGGCTCAACTGCGTGCTCGGCTTCCATAATCTGACCATCTGGAGGCAACCTGATGTTTGGCACCGGCGCCTCACAATGGCGGCGTTCCGTATCCGACGTGTGTGTGCTTGGAAGGGAGATGAAAGTCCAAATGGGGGAGGGAGAAGGAAGGAAGGAAAGGAGGAAGGTTGCAATTGTTGATGCTGCTCACATGAGGCCATTAAGATGAGGGATGCTCTTGATATTTAACAACGCTGCAATGTGTCACGCGAGAGGAAGGGGGGGGGGGAGGGTTGCCTGCTCAACAGTCCAAGTGTGAGCGTGTGAGAAGAAGATGAGGATTTTTTATTTTTTTTTTAAATAGAGCAGCTGGTGCAGGGTGCGGTCTTCACGTTCGCAGTGGTATGCTCAGCACATCAATAATTGACTAATGTATAACTAACACATATATTCAACCTCACGTCAGGATGCGTTGGCCTGACTTAAACCTTCTGTTTCATTGCGGGTCAAATTGACCCGTGTGACATCATTTACATGATTGTTTGGTGATCATGGCTCTGTCGGTCTCCAAGTGGAATCAGAGCCCACAGGCTGTGGAAAACAAGCGAGCGCCCGAGACAACGGAGGCTTTTTTTTTTGTGGTGGCAAAAGCTTGACGCGTCTTCAACTGCAATTGAGAGCCAATGAGTAGGCGCAGCATTTCTTACACTTCAAGCATGGACGGGCAACTTCAATGACGGGGGGG